TTTGTTCAAAAAAAATATATATATATTGGTCTTGTCTTTGATTTTGGTTGACTTTGGCAATGAACTTGTTTAGGTAGCAGGTTGTGTGTTTTCTATTTCGTGTTTTCTCACCTTTAAGTGATTATATAATTGTTAACATGTTTATGCGTTGTGCCTTATAGCTTGTTTGTAACTGGTAATCACTTTCAGATCCTGCATTTCTGATTTATCATTGTAGGTTGCCGAGGAGGAGGATGAGGACGAGGAAGACGATGAGGACGAGGATGAGGAAGAGGACGAAGATGAGGAAGAGGATAAGAAAGACGACGAGAATGAGGATTAGTGAAAAGTAGATTTGGGGGACAAGGAGTACTGTACTTTTACAGCATTTAGATCTAGCCTTATTTGCCTATGTAGTCAAGTAGATATGGGAAAATTGAAATGCTGCATGTTCATAGTTTTCGACGATGTGATTTGAATTAATAAGAAAAAACTCTTAAAGAGCAACATGTTGAAGTATAATCTTGTTTTTGGTCCAATTCAAATACGGGTCCAGCCCAGGTTGAAAAGGCAACGCAAGCACAAAAGAAGATTCACGCACGTGTGCTAGACAATTCTAGCAAGGTCGGTGTAGTGCAGGAGCTAGAAAGATTTAGCAATATTATAATATAGATTTGTTTGTAGAATAGACTAGAAGTCGGAAATATGTATGGCTATTATGCAAGTTTTATGTCGGTGGTGTATGATAACTAGAATGTTCTAGCAATGGTTGATGTCGGCAAAGCATGCCTATAAATATAGCTTCCGAGTGTAAGCGAAGTAAAAATGTGTTTTCTTATATGAGTGTTCCTTCTCTCTCTTTTTTCACATAATTGACGTACTCATCAAGTATGTTCCTTGGAGTTTTACGTTCTCAAGTATAATGTTCAAATTTTTGACAATTATAAAATTATACTTGAGATTTGATGTTTGAATGTCCTTTTCCACGATCTCTTGTTGAGCTCTCTCCTTTTTCATAGTTGTTACGGTTGTTGAAATTCCAACCACGTTCACGTTTGCTACATCGACCACGACTTCTTCCGTTTTGACTTTTCTCATTGTTGAAGCATTCTTCTTTCTTCTTTGGGTGGCTTGCTTCTTGAGAAGTTGTTCGTCAGTCTTTTGCCTTTTTGTATTTCTCTTTGTATGCTCGCAACAAACTCATTAATTGCTCTATAGTCATTTCTTCCAAGTTTTTTTGTTTTTTCAACTGTTACGGCGATGTTCTCGAATTTGGGATCCATCAAGCATAGTATCTCCTCCATTAAGAGGTGAGTTTGATCAATTAAAAAGAAATGGTGAAAAGTCTAGAGATGTTAGAATAATGGATGAGATATTACACTCGTTAGATCTAAAATTCGAGCACATCATCGTGACTATTGAAGAAACAACAAACTTGGTAGAAATTACTATAGAGCAATTAATGGGTTCGTTGCAAGCATATGACGAGAAACACAATAAGAGGTAAGGGACTGATTGATAAACAACTCCTTAAGATACAAATCCACCCAAAGAAGAAAGAAGAAAGGTTGAGAAGCCAAAACAGAAGAAATCATGGTCGAGGTTGGGACCTGGACATGGTTGGAATTTCAACAACCATAACAACGAAAGAGGAGAAAGCTCAACAAGAGGTTGTGAAAGAGGACACTCAAATTTGAGGTATGACAAATCTCAAGCTCAATGTTATAATTGTCAAAAGTTTGGGCATTATGCTAAGAAATGTAAAGCTCTAAGGAACATACTTGATGAGAAGATCAATTATGTGAAAGAAGAGAATGACATTGTGTTACTAGCATGCAAATTCTATGCATTACCAGGCACTTCCAAGCTTTAAAGTGATGATTGGTTCAATAACGAAAGTTGAAAACCCATACATTCAAGGTGGAAACATGGGTGCTTGATAAATGACTTCCTCTGGATGGTAGGTTGTGGTTGACTTGTAGTTGGGTGGCTCTCTCGAGACTGAAGCTCCATGGTAGCCTTGGTAGGTTGGGGCTGACAAGTACTGAGGTGGCAATCTTCACAAGCATCATGTTATTCGTATGTATAAGACTGCGTGGAAGATTCACCGTTTTGGTATATTAAATGTTTCCTATACATAATAGGGTGTTTTGATTCTTTTGTATGTGGTCTAATATTTTAGTAGATAGGATGTTAGATCTTTACATATACGTTTAGGGTTCGAAACTTCCTGCTAGATAAATTTAAGGCTGATTTTGGTTCGGCAAATGAACCGAAAAGTGGTTACCAAGGATATCGGAATAAGCAACTAAACTAATCCCAAACCAAAAATTTCGGTTTATTGAAAATCGGTATTTCCAAAATTATTTCGTTTATTTTTTTTCGAGTATGAGAAACTCGAAATCCCTTGATCATGCTTCAAACTACAAGAGGATTCAAACACCTATCATCAACAGCCAACTGTTGCAAATAAGAAACAAGATATGTACCAACTAGGTTGCATGGAAATCATGAATGGAGAACATGTTGATGCTGATTGAACAAAGATGAAGAAGAGTGATGTTTTCTCGAAAGAAAAAAAAATTCTATAATTTCCTTTTTCAATGATGATGGTAGTTCTGATCAGGAGGTTCGTCAAGAGAAGTTCGATCAAGAAAAGTCTGATCATGAGTAGTTCAATCAGGGAAGCATGGTTATGAGTAGTTCAATCAGAGGAATTTTGGTCATGAGTAGTTCAATCAAGAGGGGAGTCTGGTTATGAGTAGTTCGATTAGAGGGGTCCTGGTTATGAGAAGTTCGATCAATGGAAGTTTGATCACGAGGAGCAATCTTATTTTGGTATACCTTCTTCATGGTCTAAAGGGAGAGATTGTTGGGTTTTTCCAGCCCATAATGAGTTGTCGTAAGGTTGTTGGGAAATATAGTCTTAAAATATTAAATTGTTTTTCTAATTGAAGTTGTTTTTCAATTGGAGTGGTTTCTCAATTGGAGTTGGTTACCCAGTTGGAGTTGTTTTCCCAACTGAAGTTGTTAACTGAATTTAAATTGTTTACCAATTTAAGTTGTTTACCCAATTGGTGTTGTTTTACCAATTGGAGTTGTTTCCCCAATTTAAATTGTTTACCCAACTTAAGTTCTTTTACCAATTGGAGTTAGTTTCTCAATTGGAAGGATTCATAACTGGATTTCAACTAGGATTAGTAATACTTATTGAATAAGACCTTTATTGTGTTTGTGTAAAGGGGCTATTGTACTAGTTTTGAATTGGAGCAAAACAATAAGTTGTATACTACGCAAGGAGCTAAACTGAGACAAGGGGAAAGTGTGTGCAAGAGAAAAGAAAAGAGATAAGAGTGTATCCCTTGTTTTTTCAGATTTATCGTCAAATCTTTAATCCTAGAGGCGTGGTAAGATTATCCGTTATATTCATTATTGATATAGTGAAAGATTGTTGTTGCCCCGTAAATGTAGGCACATATAGCCGAACCGCGTTAATTCTTGGTGTGATTTGCCTTGGTTATTTTGTTTTTTGATTTCCCAAGTCAGTTCGTTTTTTTCATTCCTATACGCGATATTCACAACAGAGACCACACATAAAATGAGTGCAGAATATTTGATCTCTCAAATATTTTCGATGGTGGTCCTATCATTGATTGGCTGAACGAAATTGAAAGGCTAGCAATTTATGAAGCCAAAACCATCGGTGCGTCTCTTGAGATCAAATCTTCTACACCCATTTTGTGTGTGGCTTCTATTATTGATTGACACATGTTAAATTTATAACAACAAAGTTCAGGAGAGTTAAGTTTAGTAACACATGTCAATCAATGATAGATACCGCTGAGAAGCCACACACAAAATGAGGGCAGAAGATTTGAACTTAATATTTGAAGATAGAATATAAATTCGACACCAATCAATGCTAAGACTATCACAATCAATAGAAAATAAATATATAAAACCATTAAAGCCAACCAACAAGCAAAGACATAATTTTAAAAAGGATTTTTTTGCAAGTACCATCTAAACTTGTAAGCATGTGTGATAATACCACCTGAATTTTCAATTTTTATTTTTTACCACCTGAACTCTCTTAACAGTTGGAATCTACCATCTAGGTTGTTTTTTATCTATTTAACTATAAAAAAATGTCACATGTAGGGATAGTTACACCAATTAACTTCATGAGGCTGGCTAGAATAGCTCCAAAATAATATTATCTTAGTCAATATGGTCCTATTGCTTGAGTCAATATGGTGCTAAAATTGGGGTTTGTACTGCCCCATGTCGGCAATTCCCTCCATAAGAGTTTGAAAATTTAATATTTGAATAAATTAAAGTGAACCACACATTTATTTGCTGACCTACAAAAATAATTTTGAAAACTCGTTGTAAATGAAAGACTATATTTTTACATAGTTTTTACTTCAATTCTTCAACAACCCTTGTCAAAATCATATTCAAAATCAACTTCTCCATTTCTCTTCAGAACCTTACTTCAACATCGTTACAAAAAAATGTTTTTTGCTTTCATACAAATTGATTCTAATGAGCCTTTGAAAGTGAATTGACAAAAAGATCCCTCCACCTGAGGAGCGCGTAACATGTTCTAACTGCAAAATAAATGGAAGGCGATGGAGTGAGGCAAGGAAATAATGAAATTAACGGAATTATTTTTAAATTAAATTAATAGACATATGTCAAAATATTAGTACACAAAAAAGGAACTGGTTCCTCTCCGGATCCAAAAAGATATGAGCCCACTGAGCAATACATCCGGGTCATTGAAATTTGATCCAACGGTTACAATTATTATAACTCTTAAAGAGATTCTCTGTTTGTAACCGTTAAATCAAATTTTAATGACCTAGATGTATTACTTAATTGGCGCAGATTCCTTAGATCCAGTTCCCACAAAAAGAGACAGATCAGGAGCCCAACACTTTCTAATTTCATTATACGAATCCCACTCTTCACTTGAAGGTTGACACGTGTCCTGAAAAAGTAGCTGAGTCCTTTTTGATTGATCCGATCTTGTCTTCATTCATCGATGTCTCCGAGCACAAGAAGTCTTCCATTTGTGGGTGAATTATTTACCAACCGCCGAACCACCGGACTCCTCGGCCATCATCTCCACAACAACACATGGGAACTCCTTACCCAAACCCCATCTCTCCTACCCGAACCCGCGTGGGCTGGATTGGCATCGGCGTCATGGGCGCCGCCATGGCCACCCGTCTTCTCTCCACCGGCTACTCCGTCACCGTCTACGCTCGCACTCCTTCCAAAGCTCAACCACTACAGTCCCTCGGTGCCCAACTCGCCGATTCCCCTTTTCATCTTGCTCAGCTATGCGACGTCGTCTTCACCATGGTGGGACACCCACAAGATGTGCGATCAAATGTCCTCCACCCAGAAACCGGCATTCTATCCGGCATTAGTCCCAACTCCGTCACCGTCGACATGACTAGCAGTCATCCGGCCCTTGCGCGCGAGATATTCACTGCTGCGCGCGCCAAAAATTGTTGGTCCGTCGATGCGCCGGTGTCGGGTGGCGACATTGGCGCTAGAGAAGGCAAACTCGCCATTCTTGCGGGCGGTGATGCTTCCGTTGTCGAGTGGTTGGCCCCGTTGTTTGACATTTTGGGGAAGGCTACTTATGTGGGGCCTGCCGGTTCTGGCCAGAGTTGCAAGATTGCGAACCAGATTGTAGTGGGAGGGAATTTGCTAGGACTGAGTGAAGGGTTGGTGTTTGCGGAGCAGGCGGGGTTGGATGTGCGGCAGTTTATGGAGGCGGTGAGGGGCGGGGCCGCGGGGTCAATGGTGATGGAGTTGTTTGGGGAGAGGATGATTGGGAGGGACTTCAGGCCTGGTGGGTTTGCTGAGTATATGGTGAAGGATTTGGGAATGGGTGTGGATGTTGTGGAGGAGAGTGAGGATGAGAGAGTGGTGGTGTTACCTGGTGCTGCATTGTGCAAGCAGTTATATTCCGGCATGGTGGCGAATGGAGACGGGAAGCTTGGAACTCAAGGTCTTATCACTGCCATAGAGAGGCTCAATGGAAAGTGAGATGAAATGGTCACCTCAATTTGAAAGGTTTGGGCCGAAATCTTTTGAGTTTTACAGATTGTCACAACATCCCTGCTCTTTTCTTCTGTGTATTTTCGTAGCCTTGATCCATGGTACGTACTATCTACTTGTTTTCGTGATTTATCTACGGTATCTTCAAATGTTAGTTTTAGTTCCTAAATCCTTGAGCTTGGAAAGTGAAGTTGATGGAACTAATAGAACCCCAATTGTTCACTGTGAGGGGTGAAATTTTTTGCCAAATTACCATTCCAACCGTACCATATCAAAGTTATGCAAAAAAAATTTGTACCATTGGTAATGATACGGTATTTGTATTGTACCGTATATTTTTTTATACAATAATGGTATTTAAAATCATTAACAATGGTATACCGTACCATATCACTGCTATTAATATTATATTATTTATTTATTCATTTATATATAATTAGGTATTATTATCATTATATATGCACTTTATAATTTTTCCTTAGTTATTTATCCAATCATCTCACCCTCTAACATCTACTTTCCCAATAAAAAAACCTAAGCCTTTTTGCGCTACGACTCTTCATCTTTTCACTCATCTAGCCACCGACTTCATCTCTGTTGCTCCAATTCCGACGACTCTCTTTTTCCTGAGTCCATCTCATCTTCTCTTTCATCAAATTAGGATGTTTTTCTTCTTGACTTCGTCTAACAAGTTAATTTTTGTATAATTTTAAAGATGTAAAGATGAAATTTAGGAATCTTTGTACTATTTATATTAGGGATATTGGATTCTTTCAGCAACTCGTCTATCTATTTACTTCTTGTTTCTTAAATGAATCTCTATAAAATTCTCATAATTAAATAAAAAGTTTTAGAAATCCAAGGGAATTGGCCAAAACACGTTTGTGCCTTAAATTGGATTGGAAAAAAAAAAATTGACCCAAAAGAATGGCCCAAAACAAAATGGTAATTACCGTTACCATACCATGTCAACCGAACCATTTAGGATGTCGAAATTTGATATACCGAAAGTTTGACACAGTCATGATAATAGATTTTATCATATTAATTGGTACATGGATTTTGATATGATAATCATACCAATAGCACCCCTACTCAGCTGCACTTCAGTATAAACATTCTCGGTTGGTGTATGTGTCCGGTAATAATTTGGATAGAACCGTAAACGTCATCGATTCTCTCATAACTGTAGCCTGTTTTGTATAATTGACACTTGCGTTTCTATGTCCAAGTCTAGCATCCATAAGCTAACATTCATTGTTTACTTGACAAAACGATATTTTGACAAAACGATAATTAAAGTTAATACTCTAATGTGCGAAAAAGTTAATTCAAACTTAGGTTCAAAGAGTTTCAAACTTGGGCGCATAAAAAATAAGACGTTTATCATAAAATTAGGTATTTCTTCTTTGCGTGAAAATATTATCTAAGCGTGTGTGATTGATTGAAATACGATTAATTTGATCTCCCTTATTTACTGGGTGACATGTTTACTTGGAATGAGCAAAGTCTTAAACTCAAGACCTTGAGTAAGAGTGAATACTCTTAATCAACTGAGCTACTAATTTTTTTGTAAAACTAAAAGCAAAAGAAAATATGAACCTTATCAATGGGACTTATTTCCCTAAGATCTTTTGTAGCAAGTAGCAATTGCAATTTTGTTGGATATTTATTAGGGATTGTGGGTTATGGCTTTTTTTTTATGGTTAAAAGGTAAATTTATTACCAACGCAACAAATTTACACAAACAGAACTCTGTGAAGCACCATACAAAATATGGGATTTGGATCCTCTCTGAGGTAACTAATCGGGATCCTCCTGATTAGTGTTCGTAGACCGTTGAATTTTTATCCAACGGCTATAAACAAGGAACCCTCTAAAAGTTATAATAATTGTTAAGAATTGTTGATTACAACTAAGGAGGAGTGAGCAGTGGTTGTGTGTGCGGCGGCCTACGGCTGCTGGGTGTGTGTTCAGATGTAATTTGTAAAATTGGGTTTCCACACGACTTTCTTTCTACTTTTTAGGCTGAGGGCGATAATAAATTAAATTAATTTACGATATGAAAGAAAAATACATTTTAAGCTAATTGGACGGAATTCATGTCCACACATTATTTTTACTTTTTATTTGAAAAACATTATAATGTTGTAAATAGAGGGTATGTATGCCCATATGCATACAGTAAATTTTTCACAAGCTTAATAGTATAATTTGTTTGCTTTCAAAGTATTTGCTCAATAAATAGAGCATTACGGGTGTTCAAAAATATAGAGTGAGAAAGAAAGAAAAGTTCAAATATTTTCGATATCCTCCTATTTCTCTCCTATCTGCAATTATTTTGTGTTACTGTAATATATTGCAACAACCTTGCTCATGTCCCTAGCAAAAGTTATCTCTCTAACTTTTGCCTATTTATAATACGTTATCAGCACGACTCTATAATCATTTCTCATTTCCCTTCATCGAAAGAAAAAAAAATGTTTCCTCTAAGGTTTTTACTATTCTTCTTCCTCCTCTGCCTCAATTGTTGGATATACCCTAGCGAAGAACTGTTTTCACCATGTTTACTTCTAGTTCTCAACCTAACAATAACTTATATCTTTGATTTCTTATTTGGTGTAGCTCTTAACTACTAACCCAGTGTTTATTTATGCAATCCAAGATGAAACCCAAGCGCCACTGCCATCCTTGTTTGTCTTAGCACTCAATTGAAGGGCGATTTTGCAACAACTGTATGGTCAGAGATCAAGTGGTCACTACTCGGTAGAAAGTTTCAGTTTAATTATCATACTCCAACAGTCTTCACAACTTTAAAAATTCATAACGATGACAAAATTTCCGGTACATAAGGTCCGTACTTCTTCTTTTCCAGGGCCTAGATGTCACTAGCAGGCTCATTCCTGCAAAAACACACCGAGTTAAGTGCGTGATTTCCATTGCACCGAAAAGCTAATAATGGATCAACACACACCTTTTTAACGCTTCCGCTCTGCCCGCCACTTGAATACAAGGTTGGATGATGGGGAGACAATCTCATCTTCACATAGTTTGCGTTTTTTACCCTTTTTCTGTAATTTAGACGGAAACGTATTCAAAACTATCCACAGACAACCAAACTCCCAGAACTAAGCAAAGAAATTAGATGTCAATACCTTTAATTCCTTCTGCATTGCCATATCCATATAGATTTTCTCCAACTCATTGACTCTGTTACTCCTTGCTTCGAGCTCTCTGTAGGAACCAGCTGTTTTCCTGCACATTGTAGACAACAATATAAGACTTAAACAAAATAATGATATCGTGCTTCAAGAATCCTTGCTGACAATGAAACAGGAAGGCAGATGCAAGAATTATTCCACAAATTGAAAGGTAGCATAAGAATAACAGGAATTTGTTAACATGAGTGAGCTACCTAGGATTCATGGACAAAAAAACGGCATAAAAGAAATTCTCAACCGAAATACAATTCCAACTAGCACCTAATAGTTGGGCCGCAGACCAACTTCTAATTTATTGTTTTTATTTCAATTTCAATTTTGCCAAAGAGCTCTTTATCCCATGCAAAGTTGGGCTTTAGTTGGCATAGCAGCAAAGAGCTGTTTATCAAACCGGTTAATAACTTAATATACAGAACAACTTTTGCGAGACAATTTTTTATTTTTTTTGCCATATACTTGTAACCATTAAGATTTGTTTATGCTCTTGTAGGTCAGTTGGCATAATCACAAATCACACTCACATAACTGTATAAAAGCCAAGTTGCAGCCTTTAGACTAAACATTAAGAGACTAGGTTTGCTTAGAACCTTTTCTCTATTAAGAAACATTCTAGTCCTATTCACTTCACGATTGATGGCCTGTTATCACAAAGTAATCTTATTGCTTTGAGAATGCAACCACGCAAAGTGCAAAGGGATCACTGCACAAGTATTCTTAGATAGCAATAATGCCAAGATCTTATCACCATAATCAATGCATAGAAATGCATAATTGATGCAAAATTGATGAAAATCAAAAGACCAAAACTTCCAGAATAAACCTAACTCCTCAATCTGTCCTCGATCACTGTAAATTTTGTTTCTACCTTTTTATATGATCAGGAATGTCCTCAGAAACTGGCATTTTTCCACTTCTTGAACGTGATTGAATTTCTCTAGCCTCCTCTCTGGCAAAAAAATAATTAACAATATATTTTTTAAATGTGCAAAACAAGATAAAACATATTTGGCAAATGGGAACATAAATGATGTGAAATTAAGAAACTACTTTCCCTCCGAACTCTTTCACCCAGAGTGGTAAGTGAATTCTATAACATTATAGGTCTTATCCCCATGTGAAAGAATTGAAGAATAATGTCTTCCCAGGAAAAAATTAATAACACTTAAGAAATTAGCCTAGTGTCCCCAGTTGAAGCCATGAGGATCTACTCTATTATAACTACATGGGCCAGAAAGGAAGCAGTTTACAGATTTATAATAGCACGCTTATAGTCCTTGTATCACTGTATTTCTATGTCCCCTTTCTCAGGGCCTTAATAGTTTTTGTAAATATACTCAAGTGAACAGGATCAAAAACATTTCATACAAGTCCAAAATGGGATCAGGAGAACATATTGATCAAGTTTTATGTATGCGTCTTCCCATTTGTTACAGTATTCCTTTTCAGTGTCTGTAAGGGTGGATGTGAAACTTCGGGTTCATGTACAGTAGATATGTGTTTGTGTTTGTGTTTGTGTGTGTTTTATGTTGTGTATTTGCTTGGAAAAAGGGGTTAAAATCACTCTAGATACATATGCCTACTAATGAAAAAACCAATTCAATGAACATGAAAAATATACATAACAAAATCAATTAGAACAATGTAAACAGACATCTGTGGATAATAAGGGACAACAAAGAACCGAAAAATGGTGAAAATAGCCTTTCACCATATCCAGTCTGATTACAAATAACAGCAGCAACGAAAAATTACAAATTAAAAAAATCCATTAATTCAGAATTATGATTCTCCATGGATAGAAGATGTGAAGGAAGCTCAAACCTGTCTTCGGCAAAGTAAACGTGTCTACTTGAAGGCCGATTATCAAGAGAGTGCAGTGTCGCAGTTAACTTTTCAATTTTCTGCATTAATTAACACCATAATAAGAACCATGTTAAATTCATAAAACCAACCGGTAGACCATAGCTTCATGATATATATTTATAACCTTTTTCTCACTCTGCACTTTCTGAAATATGTATCCAATATCTTGGGTCTTCATAAGCATGAGCTCTTCTGGAGTGTACTTGTTTGCCTGACTCCTGTAGTAAAAATCCATATCACGTGAGTAGCAAGTGTGAAAAAGAAACATGATATAGAAGAGCAAACGAGAGTTTTATGTTACTCTAATTTATGGACTCCATTAACAGTTCGTGTCTTGATCATCTTGAAGTTGAACTCATCTGGGTTTCTGTAGAAGGCTTTCTGCTTCAGTATCTGATGAGTGAAAAGACAGATGAGACATAGCCTAAGATGTATACCATATCAGGAAGTTAAATTACCAGACTATTAATAGATGACGAAATCCAAGGAGAAAAACAACAAAGCCATCATAAAACTACCCGTAAAGTCTCCTTTTTGTGATATGCTTTCGCACGCTCAACATAGTCCTTATGCTTTTCAAGAAGCCCAAATTTTTTCCTCGATTCCCTATCAAATATTTGGACCCAAAACACAAAAACATTAATCCCATCATCTGATGCAAAAAAACATCATCCGAAAGTCCAACAGCAAAAGGAATGTGGTCACTCACGGTTGAGCTCGCTCCTTGTGAGCCCGTCGGCTAACGGCGTTCCTTAAAGACGACATGCTGAAAAATTCAAAGCAACCACCACAAGTTAAATGCGAAGGTAGCACTAAAGCTGAATTTTTTAAGCTGTGGAATTACAGATACAACAAATATTCATAACCATCTCAAACAAATTTGATAAACCACAATGTCGAACAATTAGGGAAATTAATTCTTGGGTAAGTTCCAAGAGCTTAAATCTTTACCCGTCGCTTACAACAATTGAATTGAATTGAATTAAAACCCTAAAAATCTAAGCAGCAACTAGGTTGTTAAAGTTGAGCAATTTGAAAGATGAATAACAATAACAAAGATTAAAGCGAAACAAACTTGACGATGAAGAATTGGGATTCCTGAGCAGTCGAATGAAATTCCGAATCCCTCCTTACTCTTTAGATGATGGAATTAAAGCGCAGGCAAAACCCTAGATGGAGAACTGGCCTTTGGAACACGCAGACTAAAACCCTAGAAAATTATTAGGGTATAAGAATTAGGGGTGGTTCGGTATGGGATCCCATACCGAAACCCTTGTCCCGATTCCCAAACCGAAATTTTCGGGAATCCCAATTGCAATACCGATCCCAAACCAAATTTTCGGGAATCCCGAAATAGTTTCGGGATTTCGGGACAAATCGGGAATCCCGAAATGGTTTTGGGCTTTTGGACTAAAATTTGACATATTATGCTTTTGGGCTAAAATTCAATCTTTTATATTGAAAAATTGACATATAGGCCTATTAAAAAGAAATCTGCCTATTCAATACTTTCATAGCATCTGCCCAATCTGCCAATTTGACATAGTTTCATACTTTCATTGCGTCTGCCTATTCAAAAGCAATCTGCCAATCTGTCTGTGCACAATAGCATCTGCCTATTCAATTTCTACTACACATGCATGCAATAAAAATAAATTAAGTACCAAATCCAAAAGCAAAATATTAGCATTCAACATAGAAATATATTCCGAGCAAATAAAAACCAGCTCGTTTCTAATATAGAGGATGGCAAACCTACAGACTTTGTAACGTCATGTCTTTTTTCTACTAATCCGTGCACAAATATGCCAATTAAATGGCAAGGCCCAGTTAAGTATCTGCCTAGAATATGCCAATCTGTGCACAGAATTACAAAACTTGATTTGCTATCAAACATTAAAGCAAGACCATGTATCTAAGATTCTATAGCCAAAACAAAAATATTACCTGACGCAGCGTGTGACTAATTTGAAGTTTGAACAGGTGAAATGATTAACTCCTCAGTTGCTACAGCAGTGCTAGACCTGCTAACACTTCTCCCTGAAGATAACCAGGAAATCAGTCAGCATAGATAATCACTTGTAGTAGTGCTTAATAATTTTCTTTGTTGATTAATGATCAATGATAGCGGTTTAATTTATCACATGTAAAGGTGCACCAGTGAACGCTTAATTCAATGATGTGTGTGCAGGTGTAAAGAGATTTACTTATTGTCGCAAGTAAGACTCCAAGAAAAAAGTATAACTTCAATCTATTTCTCCAGAGTGTAAACTCAGGGGGTATTATTCTCATTAAACCCTTTGTTAGTTAAGGTATCGCAACAAAAGTGCAGTTCATTAAGAATTGAGTTGAAATTCTCCACTTCCAAGCTATGATATTAGAGCCTAATAATTTGAACTAGCCATCTAGAAAGTTGAAGAGTTTCCCTGTAAGTATTATGTGAACATGAAATTAATGGACTAACACAGCGCCTAGTACCAACATTCTGAATGAAGCGAGCAGGATGCAACCAGAAACAACTTTAACCCCCCTACAACCCGCCAAAACCAAATACATAGCATCAAACACGGGTGCCGCAGCGCATCATCAATAAAAGAAACGATTTTTAAAAAAGAATACGACAAACTCAATCAAACATCATTTTAATTATTGAATGACTACTAACTAACAGATGAAGATGGAAGAAATGTATAAGTTATTAGCACACAAACAAACAAAATTGCCAACAATCCCTACTTTGGATGAGTGTCAGAAATTAGATTTCAAAACACTAAATTAGTTACCTAATTTGGGGTGAGAGTGAGACTCGGACTCGGTGCTAGATCGAGAGTTCTGTCCGTGAGAGAGAGATCGCAAGAGTCGGAGACGATTCGTGAAGGAAGGCTGGAGAGTTCAGTCTTTGATGCTTTGGCGTGGCGGTGGCTGGGTGGTGATTCGTGAAGGAAGGCTGGGCGGCTGGAGAGTCAGAGACGATTCGAAGGAAGGCTGTCGGTGTTAGAAGGCTGGGTGAGAAATCAGAAATGAAACTAGACTGGGAGAAACCTAACAAGGAATGGACGGCATGGATTAATTTGAAGCAATCCAACGGTTCAAATTAACTCTAACTATAATTAAAAAAACAATATATATTATTATCTATATATATATATATAGATAATAATCGGGATTTGGATCCTCTCTGAGGTAACTAATCGGGATCCTCCTGATTAGTGTTCGTGGACCGTTGAATTTTTATCCAACGGCTATAAACAAGGAACCTCTAAAAGTTATAATAATTATCGTGATAAAAATCCAACGATCCACTTACAGTGATCAGGAGGATCCCAACCAGTTGCCTCAGTGAGGATCCAAATCCCTAAATATGGACCCCCAAAAGCAACACAAAAAAGAGCCAACACAAGGTCTGGAGCCAACAGAAAGACCTAAACAAAGAAACCCTAGCATAATATTGCCGCTGCCGGAGCTCCAACCACCCATTGCAAACCAACACCCTCTGCAAACGCCTGAGATCAAACCAAACAAAGCCCAGGATTGAAGGACCACCCATTGCAAACCAACACCCTTTGCAGACTCCTGAGATCACACCAAACAAAGCCCCACAATTGAAGAACAAGGCTCCGTAGTCCTCCAACAAGCCCCACAAAGATCGTCGCCGCAGCTACAAATGAAAGGATGCACATCCAATAAGCAACAATGCCTACAGCAAACACAAGGAAGGTGGTGGTGTGAACACCCGAACCAAAGCTCTACACACCTTCTGATAAAGTTGTGACAAATCGTGTCAAATAGATCGTGTCAAATAGAGGTCCGAAAGGGAGAGAGTTAACAGGAAGTTGGGGTTATGGCTAAGTGGGAAGAATGAGATTATAAAGGCATAAAATTATAATAGATGCTAATCACAAAAGAATCACATTCCCAGATGGCAATTCTTTCACCAACGGCTTATTCAACAAACAACAAAAATATTACAAGTCACTTGCTAATGTTGCCATTGAGCCTGTCAATAACAGAGATAACCCCATGAATGCCAAGCTTCCCATCCCCATTAGCCACCATCGCTGAATACATCTGCTTACTTAACGCCGCCCCCGGCAGCACCACCACCCTCTCATCCTCCTCCTCCTCCACCACATCCACTCCCATCCCCAAATCCTTCACCAAATACTCTGCAAACCCGCCAGGCCTCATGTCCCTCCCTATCATTTTCTCCCCAAACAACTCCATCAGCGTTGACCCCGCCGCCCCTCCTCTCACCGCCTCCAAAAACTGCTTTAAATCCAACCCCGCCCGCTCCGCAAACACCAGCCCTTCACTCAACCCAACCAACCCCAGTCCGCCCACAATGTTGTTTCCTATTTTGCAACTCTGACCGCACCCGGCTTCCCCCATGTAGGTAACCTTTCCCATGATGTCAAACAACGGCGTCAACCACTTCACAACTCCAGCATCTCCGCCGGCGAATATTCCAAGTTTTCCTTCCCTAGCACCCACGTCGGCCCCAGAAACTGGGGCATCCACAGCCCAGCAACCTCTGGCTCGCGCGGCAGCAGATATCTCTCGTGCCAGGGAGGGTAGATTGGTAGTCATATCCACCGTGACCCACCGTGACGCCGTTAGGGTTTAGGCCCGAAAGGACGCCGTTTGTCTCCAAGATAACTTGTCGAACATCCGGCGGGTGTCCCACAATGGTGAAAACAACGTCGCAGGATTTAGCAACTTCAAACGGGGATTTGGCGAGGCGGGCACCCTGGGATTGGAGGGAGAGGGCTTTGGACGGAGTGCGAGCGTAGATGGTGAGGGAGTAGCCGGCGGAGAGGAGGCGGGAGGCCATGGCTGCACCCATTAAGCCAATACCGATCCACCCGATCTGGGTTTGGGCAGGAGTGATGGGGTTCGGGTAAGGGGTTCCCATGAGCAGAGGTAATCAAGGAAGGTGGCAGCGGAGGCGGAATCCGGTGGTGCCGCAGCGCAATCTGCGAATCTGATGAAAGATCAAGACTTGATGAACATTAGGAGGAAAAGGAGGGGAATCTTGGGATGGGATTAAACTAATCAGGAGAGGATACATGATAATCATATTATTATTTCTCCCCACGAAATTCTAGTGTTTGGTCTGATCGATGCGACTATAAAATCAAGGTAATAAGGCTCGTGCGTTACGGATGAATTTTTCAAAAAAAAATTTGAAAATTTTGAGTTTTAACAATAAGAACAAAATAAATGATAAAGTAAATAGTATTATAATTGACTTTTTAATGTGAAAATGTAGTTTTTCGTTAAAATGAACAGTACCGGGAGTTTTTCGTTAAAGTTCTCTTTTTCAAAAGACACTCCATATTCAAATAGTTGCTTCACACGCCTTATAATAAGTAAAGACACACGTCAAAATATAATACTTTCTCTATTTATATTGACATGCAGTGTAACGTATTTGTACCTTACAGGAATGTTTGTTTGTCCTCACTAAGTGAGACTGGACTAGGTGTTAGTGTAGTTCCATGTTTGTTAGAGGAAATGATTAGTTTTAGTGGGATTAAACCTCACTCGCCTTGACTACGGGGCTCGCTAGATAGTATTAGCGAGACCTCCCGAATACCATCGGATTGCTAAGACCCTTCTTTTCTCTCGCATTGTCCCGCTTGACTCCTTGCTCTGCTCGACTGCTCATCCTGCTCGACAAACCTTGCCGAACCATCCCAGGACCACCGTCGCGTCCTCGTAAATCATAGCTTCCTCTGCCACTTTCTCTTCTTAGTTTTCTTCAATTTTTTTTTGAAGATTTGTGAAATTATTACTAGGTTTTGATAGATTTCTGATTTTGATCGATTTGTGGGTTTGATTGATTTTTGGGATTTGATTGGTTTCTGGGTTTATTTGTTTTTGGGTTTTGATTGCTACCCATTTGTTTTCAATTTATCTACTATTTTTCCTTTTATGAATTGATTGATAAGTTTTTGTAAGTTGAAGTGCTTTTTTTCTTCATTCCCTGCTTTCGTTTTGCTAGAAATTTCTGTTGGAAATTTTGAGTAGAAATTTCATTGTCCCACATTGATTACCATTAAAAGGTTTCCTCACTTTATAAAACTTTGTCTTTTATAGAAAATGATTGCAGTGATGAACCTTAGAGAACAAAATTGGACTCACATTGGGGTTGGGCTTTGGAGTATACTAATTAATTATCAAAAGATGGGCCTTGGGCTAAGGCTCTAATAATTAAATATTTAATTAATTATTTTCGGATTTAATTAATTTTGAATTTAATTAATTAATTAATTAATTATTATTTTATCAACAAACTCATCCCTTTCAGATGAAGTCTGAAAAGTGATGAAAGAACGCAGAGCAAAGCACCCCTCTGAAGAAGATGTCTCCAACAGGCACATCTCATTCTCATACTTGTTGCGAACAGGCATACACCTACTATATATACATCCATCTACATGACATTTAGAACATAGAAAATACAATTCTTCTTCTATAATCCAAAATATCCTTACTGAGAGAACCACATAGAAATTCGCCAGAAGTTAAGTTTTCCGGTGCTGGAATTCTGACTTGATCGTTGAATCCTGATGAAGTAGACGTCCGTAGAACTATAAGCACTGAGTATAGACTAAATTTCTATTTCAAGGATATTGTGGTACGCAAGCCTCAATCTTTAATATTTATGTTCAATATTATTTCATTGTTCAAACTCTGTTAATTAGTTGTTTGCATTTATTATTTATTAGCATATATAAATTTATCACAAATTGTTGACATATCTCCAACAATTTGATGTTATCATATTTTGGTTTGATCTTTACCCAAAACTCCCCGACTTTCTTACTTTAAAATACCCATTGTATGCATACAGAAAGCACCCTTTGTGATCCATAACCCAGATAACCTTTTTTACATCGTATTGGGCTTCCTAATTCAACAAGCTCCTAACTCTTTCTAATTGCTGCTTTGTTTTCTTAAAAGACCATTCAAGAGAAGTCCATTTTCTACAGCTCATGATGCTGGAAAACTCTTTCGGCCAAGGCAATTACAAATGAACGTCAAACTTAGTTCATCAGTGTCAAAGGCCCTAAACTGCTCACCATGTGGTTTGGTGAGGGTGAAACCAATGTTCAATAAATCTTATACAAGGCTCGTTCATCTTCTAAACTGCAAATTTGGTTCTATTTGCCTATCAATTTGAGTCGTTGAAAGTTTGCTTCAATAGAGTTCATTTTTTTTGTATAATATTGGTTTAATTTTTGTTAATCGTACAATATTAGTTTGTGGTTGAAAATAAATTAAAATTGAACAATAATTTGCAAACACCAAATTGTGGATAGTGCTATTTTCACTATCTTGCTTCTTAGTCTAACCCTGCACCAAACTCTTCCCTAAATCAGTCTAGCTTAGTCTAGTCTAAAGTCAGTCCAGGTTAGTCCCTGAAGCTAGTTCAGTCTAAAATAGTCCGGTGCAACAAACGCATCCTACTTTACTAAACATGAGCGGACTTTCAACATGCACATCTTGTGTTTGCTTCTCAATATTTATCTCTTTACATAATATTCTCCCTAGGCGACATGAGTAACCTTACAAAGTTCACAAACTTGACAATTTACATTGTTTCAAATTAAATTGGACAACAATTAGAAATGCGTAATATTAGTATTACAAAGATATTTAAGAGCGATTTTCAAGCAACTATTTACAAAACGTCATTACTAATCTATCGTACGTTTGCAATACCCTCCATCTAACATTTGCAGGCCTACTGATTTGGCATCATTCTCTTGAAACTTTTAAATCTCTCATCCACATATTTGCCTAAATGTTAATGTTATTAGGATTTTATTTAATTGAGATTTCAAAGGTTTTTAATGGGTGTATAAAGTTTGTAGGGTGTTTTCTATTTGGATTTTTGAAGAATTGGGGAAAAAGTTTAAAAATTCATGAGTTTGTAGAATTCTGGGGTATTTAATTAGAATTTTAAGTTAGTTTAGGGGTATTCAATCAAAAATTTTAAAGAATTTATTAAAGGGAACTTTAACGAAAAGCACCCGGTATTGTTCACTTTAACGAAAAACCACTTTTTAACACTAAAAAGTCAATCCTGGTACTATTCACTTTATCCTTTATTTTGTCCTTATCATTAAAACTCAAAGTTTTCAAGCCCTTTTCATTAGTTTTCCTTTTATTAAAGGGAGTTTTAACGAAAAGCCCACGGTACTATTCACTTTAATGAAAAACCACATTTTTACATTAAAAAGTCAAACCTGTTACTATTCACTTTACCCTTTATTTTGTCCTTATCGTTAAAACTCAAAGTTTTCAAGCCTTTTTCATTAGTTTTCCTTTTATTAAAACCATAGAAAATGATGTGTATATAATCAAGATTTTAACAAAATTTAGAAAAATTCATATTCAATCATGATTCTAAATGAGTAATAAAGTCTAAGTGTACTGCCAATGAATTTTGGTTGAATTGTTAAAGATCATTACCTTTGTGACCAAAGTCTAGGTTCAAGTGTCGTTGCTAGTAATTTTCTTTGGTGGGTGATCTGAAAAAACAAAAAAAAGAGCTAAGATTCTATTTGTAAGTCCTCAAATAGGCTTGTGGCATGCTCTAATTATGGGATGGTGTCACGCCCCGGACCCAGAGTCGGTAATAAAAACTCGAACCCGAATCCGAAACGTGAGTTAAAAATTAAACAAATAAAAGGAAATTGAAACGGGTTGGAAAATGAACTCCTCTAATAAAATAACTCCAAAATCCTTACAGGGTGTACAAAAGTAAAAAATTAAAATCCTTAAAACCCTTATCTAACACAACCTTAGCTCGTCTATCACATGTCTTGCCAAATAACACCTATTTGTAAAATAATAGGTGAGGGGTGAGCAACAACCACCTTCGCTCAGTGAGTAGAATATGTAATATGCTAGTCAAGCGATTCCTTTTTACACACTCTAGAAAATACAATAATAATATCAAAGTTTTAACCACATCATCCATTTACGTGTTCATTACATCTTTCATAAATTATAACTCACCACGTGACCCCTAATGGCCTTTCCACCCTAATGTCCCTGTGTGTAGTTTACATTTATCCCTCCGGATTAATGCAACACTAAAGTTCTCATGCTCTATGAACATATCCAAATAATCCACATATCACCATATTAATAATTCCAAAAGCATTTCAACAAATCCAACATGCTTGACTTAAAATAGATAGAGATTTATAAATAGATAAAACCCACAATAATTCGTGGTTTTCATTTATCAGAAAATAAGAATACTTTGAAACACATTATATAAACCACTCACCTTGATCAATAGCTAGAACCTTGGCAAGACAAGCATACAAATAATCTCCACACCCTAAACCCTATTTCTTTCTCTCTTTACCATCACTCCCTTTCTCTATGGTGCAAAGCTCCTAGGAGAAGACGGCAAAGATTAAGCCATTTAATCAGTTGTCAGTGCAACGCATGACAGCAAAAATTAAGCTTTTCATAAACTTTGTCTTCGCCTTGAGGTTATGAAAGAATTCACTAAAAATTCATAGATACTCAAATTCTATATAGAAAATAGAGGAAACTGTAGCAATGGTTAACTCAATTAGAGTAATAGTTTCTCAACTAAAAATATGTGACCATTGGCCTATTAACTTATCAAAACGGGTCCTTTTCGTCAACTCTTTTAGAATTTTAATCAAAATGAGTCACATGACAATCATATGAAGCTGAATCAAAGGACAAATATGGGAACCAAATGAGAAAAATTGTAGCATGGTCGTTCAATTTTAACCCAATTGGAAAAATAGTTTCTCAACTTTTATCTAATTGTAGCAATGGTCTTTCCAAATCTACGTAATTCATTTTGACGGAATTTTGGCAGAGTTGACAAAAAAGATCATAGTTACACGTTTTGATAAGTTAAGAGCCAATAATTATGAATTTTCAATTGAGTGACTATTACTCTAATTAAATTAATTTGAAAGACTATTTCTATAATTTTCTCTAGAAAATATGAAAGACTTTGAAAGTGCATAAAATTTAATAGATTACTGAACTTTTTTTCTTCATATATATCAATAATAGGTACACTAAATAGTTGAAATATAAAGGGTAT